CACCACACCCACCACATAACCACACCACATAACCACACCACGCCCATAATTAACCCGCATCCCAAGGCCTGTGGGTTCACCTGCCCACAGTTTAACATTCACCCCAGGCTTCTCTCCCTGCCACCCCTTCAGGTAACTCAATTAGTGTGGTCAGTCCCAGGTAGCTCCAGGTAAGCTTACAACCTAAAACAGAGCCCCAGGTAAGTATCCCATGTGTACACCTCTACTACTGTGTACACCTCTACCTGTGTACACCTCTACCACTGTGTACACCTTCCACCACTGTGTGCACCTCACCTCTGTGTACACCCCCACTACTGTGTACACCTCCGCTACTGTGTGCACCTCCACCACTGCCACACCTCCCCACCACTGTGTACACACTCATGTGCACCTCCCACCACTGTGTACACCACCACCACTGTGTACACCTCCCCACCTCTGTGTACACCCCCTGCACACCTCCCACTACTATTACACCTCCGCTTCCTGTGTACACCTCCCCACCACTGTCACACCCCCACTACTGTGTACACCTCCATGCCTCCCACCACTGTGTACACACCACCACCACTGTGTACACCTTCACCTCTGTACCTCCTACTGTGTACACCTCCACCTCTGTGCTTACCCCCACTGTACACCCCCACTGCACCTCCCACCCCACCACCACTGTGCCTCCCACTGTACACCTTCACTGTGTACCCCCACTGCAGTGTCTCCACTGCTAGTCAAGCTGCCCTTATCAGCTCTGTGCCTGAGGCCGTGTCAACGTGAGATCAAACTACGGGGGTCAGGCCGGGGTCCCATGTTGCAGGTGGCTTACAGGAACCCAGGCTGGGTCTAACGTGCTTACTAACATGATGTGGTGCCTGATGGTGCAGACACTATACATGTTGATTGCTCATACTTTATCTGAGTATCATCACTGTTAAAAATAATTCTGCCCTGACACTGACATCTGTCGCGACTTGCCCGGTGATGCTCTGACACTGGCTGGCGCCCGTTCTGACACCAAATTGATGCCCTGAAACTGACTGACATCTGTCCTGACACCCAGTGATGTCTGACGCACTGACTGACATCTGTCTGACGCAAATTGATGCCCTGAAACTGACTGACATCTGTCCCGCAGCGCAAAAGTGATGCCTGACACTGACTGACATCTGTCCTGACGCAGTGAGGGCCCTGTCACTGGCCCAACCTGTCCTGACACGTTCTTGCTGACACTGACGACACCCGTTTTGACGCAAATTGATGCCCTGGCCTGGCCTGACATCTCTTCCTGACGCAATTTGATGCTGACACTGACTGATACAGTACCCAATTCTCTCTCTCTCTCTCTCACACACACACACACACACACACACACACATATATTTGTAATTCAGAAACCCATTCCCCAAATATGTAACCATATATTTTCAGCCTGGCTCACAAAACAAGCTCTTTCAATAAACCGTTAATTAATATTACACACACACACACACACACACACACACACACACACACACACACACACACACACACACACATTCATTGCAGGTTACTCAAAGTGGATAACCCACAAAAATCCTGCTCACATAAACAGATGTCTCATTGATGTCAATTCTGGTCACTAAACTCACAGCCTTAAAAATGTAAAAAAAATCACCTGAAACTCCCCATAATGACAATGACTGACCAGTATGTTCAATGAAAGAAGATGTAATTTAACTATTTTTGCACTTAATATTCCTCTAGCTAGTTTTAATATGTAATAGGATATCTAATCTACCTATAGTTTAATCACATAACAGGTAAGTAATTAGATACATCTAACATTTAATCATACAGGTATGAAGGTAAAGAACTTATAATTTTTTATAGAGGATATTTAAAACGTTCATTGACTTTTTATATCTATTTTTTTAAACCACAGGAATTTTTTATTTTATTTTATCACGGTAGTTGGGGTCTTTGAAGACTTTACATGAAATAAAAAAGAAAGCAGGAAGTGAATTTTTTTAAAGAAATTTCTATACACATAGTCCCCTAAAGCATTAAATGAAAGAAAAATCTAATCACACCGAGAAAAATATGTAATCAGTATATAAATAAAGATTAAAAGTTAAGATGTTTATAAAGTATATAATTTTTTTAACCAACTAATATAGTTTTTGTGACGACGATAAAGACGTCTTAAGAGCTGAATAAAGAATTATTCCCATGGACAGATACAGGATTAAAACCCTTGATAATATTTTTAAGAATTTTATCAATATGGTTTAGAGGATCTGTGTGAGGGCATTCGTGACATGTAGATATACATAAAGTATACATAGTAACACGTATACACACACATAAAGTACACACCACTGCAACACACCATCACCACAACAACAAGACAACACACACATCAACACCACCAACACACCTTAACACACCACCAACACAACACACCAACCCACCAACACAGCAACACACCTCCACACCAACCCACACCTCACACAACACAACACACCAACCACCTCCTCACACCAACCCACCTCCACACAACACAACACACCAACACACCTTAACACACCACCAACACAAACACACCAACACACCCTAACACACCAACCCACCTCACACAGCACAACACACCAACTCAACCAACCCACTCACACCACCCACACTCACACAACACAACACACCAGCCCATTCACCAACCCAACCTCACACCAACTCACACAACACAACACACCAGCCTAGCCCACACCCCCACCACACCACATTTCACACCAACTCACTCACAAACACAACACACCAGCTCATCCACACCACCCACCACACAACACAACACACCAGCTCATTTCACACCAACCCACCTCACACACAACACAACACACCAGCCCACTCACACCAACCCACCACACAGCACACACACCTCTGACTACACCAACCCACATACACCAACCCACCCCACACAACACACACACAACCCACCTCATTAACACAACACACCAACCTCATTTCATCAACCAACATCTCACCACACAACATAACACACCAACTCACCACACCAACCCACCACACAACACACACCAACCACCACACCAACCCACCTCACACAACACACCAACACACCTTTAACACCACCCACCTCACACCAACCCACCACACAGCACACACACCAACCCACTCCACACAACACGATAACATTACACAACCACACACCAACCTCCCCCACACAAACACACACACCAACCCACTCACACCAACCCATCCACAACTAACACACACCAACCCACCTCACACCAACCCACTCACACAACACACACCAACCCATTCTCACACCAACTCACCATCACTAACACAACACACCAACCACATCCACACCAACCCACCACAGCACACAACACACCACCATCTCACACCAACCTCACACCAACTCATTTCACCAACCCACCTCCACATAACAAAACACACCAACCCACCATAACACATACCAACACTACTCACACCAACCCACTCACACCAACCCACTCACACAACACAACACACCACCATTCACAAACCCCACCACCACACACACCAACCCACTCACACCAACCCACCACACACACACACCAACACACTCCACCACCTGACCACACCAACCCACTCACACAGCACAACAAACCAACCCACCACAACAGCAAACACACCAACCCATTCTCACACCAACTCCACTCACACACACAACACACCAACCCATTCACACCAACTCACACTCACACACAACACACCAACACGAACACACCAACCTACTCACACCAACCCACCACACAGCTAACACACCAACCCACCACACAACATCAACACACCAACCCACCTCACACCAACCCACCACACACAACACACACACCAACACCCACTCACACCAACCCACCACACAACACAACACACCAACTCATCTCACACCAACCCACTGCACAACACACACACCAACCTACACACCCAACCCACTCACACACACAACACACCAACCCACTTCACACCAACCCACTACACAACACAACACACCAACCTCACTTCACACCAACTCATTTCACACCACCACCTCACCTCCACTCACACAACATAACACACCAACCATTCTCACACAACACAACACACCAACCTACCACACCAACTTTCACACCAACTCATCTTCACACAACATCAACATTCACACCAAATCCACCACCACAACACACACACCAACTCACCATACAAACCCACCTCAAGCAACACACACCACTACACCAAACCATCATTTAAAAAGAAAATCACTCAAATTCATTCTCACACCAACCCATCTTCACAAACACAACAATTACCACACTAACCCCACCACCACAACACAACACGGATGCATTTGCTGTCAGGAACAAGTATTATCAGCAACAAATTGTAAAATTCTCCCAACTTGAAAACACTGAGCTAAAATTTACCAAAATAATATAACGTCAGAGAATCACAAAACCAAAGAGGCTTATATGTTTACTTGTACCGACTGTGATATGGAAGATGTACGTGTTGGTTGCTGCTGCTGGGTTGGCTGGTTGTTGGCTGCTGCTGGTGTTGCGTTGCTGCTGGGCTGTTGGTTGCTGGGCTGGTGCTGGCTGCTGCTGCTGGGTTGCTGGGCTGTTGGTTGGGCTGGGCTGGTGCTGTTGGGCTGCTGGGTTGGGTTGGCCAGGCACATGGCTGTCTGGTTAGCGCTGGTGTTGGCTGGGCTGGTGCTGGCGCTGCTGGGTTGTTGGTTGCTGGGCTGGTGCTGGCTGCCAGCTCAGCTGGGTTGGGCTGGGCTGTTGTCATTGGGCTGGGTTGGTTGCTGCTGCTGAGGTTGGCTGCTGCTGGTGCTGGTTGGGTTGCCAAGGCTGGTTGCTGGCTTGGTTGCTGTTGGTGGCTGGTGTTGGTTGCTGGTGTTGGCTAAGTGGCTGCTGTTGGCCAATGGTTGGCTGGCTGCTGTTGGCTGCTGGGCTGTTGGTTGCTGCTGCTGCTGGGTTAGCCGGTCATGTTAGCTGGCTGGTGTTGGGCTGGGTTGCTGGATTGGGCTGTTGCTGGTTGCTGGGGGTTGGTGCTGGCTGCTGGGCTGCTGGGCTGGGTTGTTGGTTGCTGGGCAGCCGTTGGTTGGGGTTGGGTTGGCTGGCCGTGCTGGTTGCTGCTGTTGTTGGTTGTGCTGGTGCTGGCTGCTGTCTGTTGTTGCCGGGTTGCTGGTGCTGGCTGCTGCTGCTGCTGGGTTGCTGTGGCTGGGCTGCTGGTGTTGGCTGCTGCTGGGCTGGGTTGCTGGTTGCTGGTGCTGGTTGCGTTGCTGGTTGGCTGTTGCTGCTGGTGTTGCTGCTGCTGGGCTGTTGCTGGTGCTGCTGGTGTTGGCTGGGCTGCTGCTGTTGGTTGGCCGCTGGTGCTGGCTGGGCTGGGCTGCTGGGCTGCTGTTGGCTGCTGGCTGGTGCTGGCTGGGCTGCTGGGCTGCTGGGCTGGTGCTGTTGGCCGCTGGTGCTGGCTGGTTGCCGGGTGGGGCTGGTGCTGGCTGGGCTGCTGCTGGGCTGCTGGTTGCTGTGTTGGTCATTGTTGGTTGTGACTGGTGTCATTGCTGGGCTGGTGTTGCTGTGTTAAATAGGCTGGTTGCTGGCTGGGCTGGGTTGCTGGCTGCTGGGCTGATGGCTGGGATGGGCAGGCTGGGAGGCTGGCTGGCTGGTGATGGGCTGGGTTGCTGGGTTGGGTTGGTGCTGGCTGGGCTGGGTTGCTGGTGCTGGGCTGGTGTTGGCTGGGCTGGTGCTGGCTGGCTGTTGCCAGGCTGGGGTTGCTGGGTTGGTGTTGCTTCGCTGGGTTGGGCCATTGCTGCTGGCTGGTGCTGGGCTGGGCTGCTGCTGCTGGCAAGGGCTGGTGTTGGTTTGGGCTGGGCTGGGCTGCTGGGTTGGGCTGCTGCTGGGCGTTGGTGCTGGCTGGGTTGGGCTGGGCTGGTGCTGTCAGCTGGTGCTGGTTGGGTTGCTGGGCTGTGCTGGGTCAGTTGGTGTTGGCTGGGGCTGTTGGCCAGGCCGGGCTGCGGCTGGCGCTGGCTGGGCTGCTGGGCTGGCTGGGTTGCTGCTGGGCTGGTTGGGCTGCTGGGGCTGGTGCCGGCCGCTGGGGCTGGGCTGGGCTGGTGTCCGGGTTGGTGCTGGCTGGGCTGGTGTTGGCTGGGCTGGTGTTGGGTTGGGCTGCTGGCTGGGCTGGGCTGGCTGCTGCTGGTGCTGGTTGGGCTGGGCTGGGCTGGGCTGGTGTTGCTGGGCTGGTGCTGGCTGGGCTGGTGTTGCTGGCTGGTGCTGGCTGGGCTGGGCTGGTTGGGCTGGTGCTGGCTGCTGGGGTTGCTGGTGTTGGCTGGGCTGTGCTGGTGCTGGCTGGGCTGGGCTGGTGCTGGCTGCTGGTGTTGGCTGCTGGTGCTGGCTGCTGGCTGCTGGTGCTGGCTGGGCTGGCTGGCTGGGCTGGGCTGGGCTGGGCTGGTGCTGGGCTGGGCTGGGCTGGTGCTGGCTGGGCTACGTCAGTTTGGGTTGGTGTTGGCTGCTGGGTTGCTGGCTGCTGGTGCTGGCTGGGTTGTTGGCTGGGGTTGGGCTGCTGTGTTGGTTGCTGGTGTTGGCTGGGTTGTTGGCTGGGTTGGGTTGCTGCTGGTGCGGTTGGGCTGGGTTGGGCTGGCTGGGCTGCTGCTGCTGGGCTGGGCTGGTGTTGGGGCTGGTGCTGGCTGGCTGCTGCTGGCTGGTTGCTGGGTTGGTTGCTGGGCTAGGTTGTGCTGGTTGGGTTGGTGTTGCTGCTGGGTTGGTGCTGGTTGCTGGTGCTGGTTAGGCTGGGCTGGTTGGCTGGGCTGGTTGGGCTGGGCTGGCTGGGTTGAAGGCTGGTTGGGCTGTTGGGTTGCTGTCAAGGTTGGTTAGGCTGGGTTGGCTAGGCTGGGCTGGCTGGGCTGGGGTTGGGCTGGGGCTGCTGCCGGGCTGGTTGGGCTGGCTGGGTTGCTGGGTTGGTTGCTGGGTTGGTTGCTGGTTGGCTGGTTAGGTTGGGCTGGTTAGGTTGCTGGTTGGGTTGGGCTGGTTGCTGGGCTGAAGGGCTGGTTAGGTTGGGTTGGTTGCTGGGTTGCTGCTTGGTTGGGTTGGTAGGTTGGGCTGGTTGGTTGGGTTGGTTGCTGGGCTGGTTGCCGGTTAGGCTGGCTTGGTTGGCTGGTTGCTGGTTAGGTTGGGTTGGCTGCTGGGTTGGCTGGGTTGCTGCTGGGTTGCTGGGCTGGTGGCTGGTTGCTGGGTTGGTTGGGTTGCTGCTGGGTTGCTGGGTTGCTGGGTTGCTGCTGGGTTGGCTGGGCTGGGCTCATTGGCTGGGCTGGCTGGGCTGCTGGCTGCTGGTTAGGTTGGCTGGCTGGGCTGGGTCTTGGTTGGGCTGGGTTGGCTGGCTGGCTGGTTGGGCGGTTGCTGTGGTTGCGGGTTGGCTGGTTGGTGCTGGTTGCTGTGCTGGGTTGGTTGCTGGTTAGGCTGGGCTGGTTGAGGCTGGGTTGGTTGGTTGGGTTGGTTGCCGCTTGGTTGGGTTTGTTAGGCTGCTGGTTTGTTGCTGGTTGTGCTGGGCTGGCTGCTGCTGGCTGGGTTGGGTTGCTGGGTTGGCTGGGGTTGGTTGGTTGTGGCTATGGCTGGAAGGCTGGTTGGGCTGGCTGCTGGTTGGGCTGGTTAGGTTGCCGGTTAGGCTGCTGGTTGCTGCTGGGTTGCTGCTGCTGCTGCTGCTGCTGGCTGGGCTGGGTGGCTGGGTGCTGGCTGGCTGGGCTGGGTTGCTGGGTTGCTGGGTTGCTGCTGCTGCTGGTTGGGCTGGGGTTGCTGCTGGTTGTTGTGTTGGGTTGCTGCTGGTTGCTGGTTGGCTGGGTTGGCTGCTGGGCTGCTGCTGGGCTGCTGGGCTGGGTTGGTTGGTTAGGTTGTGCTGGTTGCTGGTTGGTTGGTTGCTGGCTGGGCTGGGTTGCTGGGTTGGCTGCTGGTTGGTTGCTGGCTGGGCTGGGTTGCTGCTGGGTTGGTTGCTCGGCTGGGCTGGCTGGCTGTGGGTTGGGTTGCTGGTTGGGTTGCTGTTGGTTGCTGGTTGGTTGGGTTGGTTGCTGGTTGGTTGAAGCTGGGTTGCTGGTTGCTGGCTGGGTTGGCCGGTTAGGTTGCTGGGTTGCCAAATGGTTGCTAGTTGCTGCTGGCTGGGTTGCTGGTTGGGCTGCTGGGCTGGTTTGGTTGCTGCTGGCTGGGCTGGTGCGGTTAGTTGGTTGCTGGTTGTGTGCTGGCTGCTGGTTGCTGGCTAGGTTGCTGGTTGTGCTGGGTTGCTGCTGCTGGTTGGGCTGGTTGCCAGGCCGCTGGTTGGTTGGGCTTGGCTGGTTAGGTTGGGTTGGGTTGGTTGGGTTGGTTGGGTTGGGTTGGTTGGGTTGGTTGGTTAGGTTGGGTTGGGTTGGTTGGGTTGGATTTGGGTTGGTTGGGTTGGGCTGGGCTGGGTTGGCTGGGTTTGGTTGGGTTGGTTGGGTTGGGTTGGGTTGGGTTGGTTGGGTTGGTTGGAGTTGGGTTGGGTTGGTTGGGTTGGGCTGGGTTGGGTTGGTTGGGTTAGGTTGGGTTGGGTTGGTTGGAGTTGGGTTGGGGTTGGGTTGGTTGGGTTGGTTAGGTTGGTTGGGTTGGTTGGTTGGGTTGGGTTGGGTTGGTTGGGTTGGTTAGGTTGGGTTGGTTGGGTTGGGTTGGGTTGGGTTGGGTTGGGCTGGGTTGAGTTAGGTTGGTTGGGTTGGTTGGGTTGGGTTGGGTTGGGTTGGTTGGGTTGGGTTAGTTGGATTTGGTTTGGGTTGGTTAGGTTGGGTTGGGTTGGTTGGGTTAGTTGGGTTGGTTGGGTTGGGTTGGTTGGTTAGGTTGGGTTGGGTTGGTTGGGTTGGTTAGGTTGGGTTGGTTAGGTTGGGTTGGGTTGGGCTGGGTTGGGTTGGGGTTGGGTTGGTTGGGTGTTGGGTTGGGTTGGGTTGGATTAGGTTGGGTTGGTTGGGTTGGTGTTGGGTTGGGTTGGGTTGGTTAGGTTGGGTTGGGTTGGTTTGGTTGGGTTGGGTTGGGTTGGGTTGGGTTGGGTTGGTTGGGTTGGGTTGGTTGGGTTGGGTTGGGTTTGGTTGTTGGTTCACTCAATACCTCACCCATAAACTTATTTATCTTTAGTTAACAATATATTAGTTACGATAAATTGAAAAAAAATTAATTAATTTTAACCGGGTTGTCTCCCCCTTTATCCTCCCTCATCTCCCTCACTGCTCCCACGAAACCCTCCCCCCACTGCTCCCAAACCCTCCCTCATCCTCCCCTGCTCCCCAACCCTCCATCATCTCCCCACTGCTCCCCAAGCCCCTCCTCATCTCCCCACTGCTCCCCCTCATCTCCCTCACTGCTCCCCGTCACCCATCATGTCCTGGACCACTGCCAGACCTCAGACTCCTCAAAATGTTAATTGTTTCATAATGTCGTATTACTGATACATAATCTGTCTTAGTATGCATTATTTGGGGTAAAAATAAGTGTATATTAAATGCGTCCTCCAAAAGCTTAAATTTGATACCAGAGTTTAACAGTTAATTCATGTGTAAGTTTTCTGATAAACTTCCTACGTGCACATGTTTGAAATAATGAATATGTATCTTTATATAATTTAGCTAAATATCTTTCTCGTAAACTCATTTTGAAATAAATCGTGACTTCAGGACGAAATCTGACAGGTTTGCAACAGTCAATCAGCTGTAACTCTTGAGGAGGGGGCGAGGCATCTCTTATCAGCTGGGAAAAAACCGCACTATAGTATAAATGGCACTGCACACCCAATACCTAGGCAGTCCTAAATACGAGGTGGTTATACAGGCAATGTTTTGTATTCCTCGGCCGGCCTTAGTAGAGGATGTTGGTCTAGGAATATTGTCTATTGCCTGGCGGAAAGGATCAGGGGTGGTGATGGACTTCGTGTGGTCTCGTAGCTTTTTGAGAACCATTTATTGCTGTTCTCGTTGTCTGGTGGGAGTTTTTATGGGAGTTCTTGGTCAAATAGTTCTCTTTTTTTGTGCAAGGGTGTGTGTTTGTGTGTGTGGGTCGCTGTGTGTGTGGGTAGCTGTGTGGTGCTGTGTGTGTGGGTCGCTGTGTGTGTGGGTCGCTGTGTGTGTGGGTCACTGTGTGTGTGGGTAGCTGTGTGCGTGTGAGTAGCTGTGTGTCTCTGTGTCTTGTATATTTGTGTCTTGAACTTAACGCTGCGTGAGACACCTGGGGGATACCATCAGCTCCAGGTATAAACACTTGACTGAGTAAATGTTTTTCTGATGTGTTTATAAACTTTCATTAAATCTCCTCTTGTCCGTCTGTAGTACAAGCTGGATAAGTGTGAAGGTGTCCTATCCTATCCTATCCTATCCTACTATCCTATCCTATCCTGAGGGGCGTGAATATGTCCTATATTATTATCCTTACAATATTCCCTCCTCTACCTTCACTATTAACCTTACTAAGATAATTATTAATATTTGAATTAAAGAATATTGGTTTAATTACTATAACAGACGTCATTACAAGCAGGTGAGGTAATTAGCCAGTGTCATCCACAATACTTAGTTAATGAGGCT